TAAATAAAATTTATTATATGTTTTTGATTATAATAATAAATTCACAGTGGTTTTGAAATTTTTTCAATGCGTACAAGCGGCAAACATAATATTTCGCCAGAAGGTAGTTAGGGTTACTATTGTAGCGAGGATCGACACAGTACGGAACATGGAAATCTGAAATATGCTGATCTGCGAGATTCTTTTCCAGTTCTTTCACAATAAGGTAACAACTGCATTGCATATGATATTCAAGAAGATAATATTAATTAATGTTGTTAGAAAAAACTGACTTCGCATTTCGTTCAACCTCATGATATGGGGCCAAGGATCAACAGTGTATCTGTGGGAAGTCATATAATTTACATAGAAAACGAACCACGAAATGAGCAGCTGAAAGACATAGAAGTGGCATAACACCATGAAAACTGATTGAGAGAATACGTGCTTATTATCATACACACTCCCAATGTAAAATACTTCATATTGTTGTCATGGTAAATCTACTACTGACTTCATATCATTCATGTTATACTTGCGATATGGGAATCCGTTATCCTCGACGCATTAGTGTAGCCTAGGTCATTAACGAAATAAATCTTAAAGATTTTTTACTTATTTGAAATTAACGTAACTAGTTTTTAATGTCTAATTTCCATTTTTTAATGCAACTTTTTCTTAACTGTATTTTTTTATTTGTTTCCTCTCCATTCACAATCTTGTGCCTTTCTTTTAGCTTACTATTTCGTTAAAACTGTTAAAATATACCCTAGGAAACCTGCTTCTTTTTGAATGCTTCTCTTCTCTTTGAATGCAGTGACGAAGGAATGTTCTACAATGACAAGGAACACAGTTTCAAAAGCTCTGTAATATCTATTAAAGAGGGTTTCAACCGTTTGTTCCAAAGATTAATCATACTTTATGTTTGACGCAACTTCTTTGCTTAATAACTGCTTTGTAAATTTGCAATGCCCATAAGAGGTAGCCATTGCAGGGGAATCTTGAAGGGGAAGAGCTCAACAGTACCACGTAGTAGTGTAATCCATTTTCATGGATGTCAACATTCATTCAAAGGACTTTAAAACTGTGTCTGAACACATCAAATTTCACATTCGAACCGGCGACTGTATGGAAGTCAAACACTCACTGCCAAGGCCGAATGATAGCTGGTGCCACACGCAATCATGATGAGGCGCCTGCAACGCTTGATCTCAGGCAGGAATTCCTTAATGCCGCCAAGAACGATGCGATTGTGTTCAAAGTTGACGCGGCCTCGCATCGAGTTGAAGACGCTCTCGGGCTGTTCGAAAATCTCTTTTTGCATGAACGTGCGGAAGTTTCCCTTCATAATCTGCTGTATC